CTCCACTGATGCGCTCTGATTTCTCTCAAGGGGAGCGGCAACGCGAACCAAACAGGTGCAATTGAAGGATCCCTTCCCGGTCGAAAGGACTAGGGACTGCGTGTATAAAAATAACTGCAACGATTTCGCCAAGGTTTACATAGGACAACCAGCCGGGGAATTGCACACCAGAATTGGTGAGCATAAAAGAGGGATAAACAAACCACCAGGGAATGAAGAAGAATACCAGACGCTGATCAAACGCTCAACAATGGCGGTACATGCCTTAGACACGGGACATAGAATAGATCTGGAGAATGTGGAAGTTTTAAGACAGGGAATGCGATTCACACCACAGCGGCTGATAGCCGAGGCGGTGGAAATTACTAAGCACCACAGAGTGAACAGAACCGAGGGTGTGGAACTGGCGAGCGTATGTAAAGCGGTCTTAGGTAAGCCGAGCTGATACGTGACTGTGTGGTTGCCAATCCACGTAGAATCACTGGCAAAAAACCGGGGGCGGGGGTGGAAATCCCAACCCGATCAAAGGTTACAACATCCCTCTTCACAACTTTCCTAGCACTACCTCATCCACGCAGACGGACAGAAGGTTCAAACGACGTACAAGAGGGATCATCAAGTGGACCGAACCAGAAGAACTAGACCCTAGGCTGGATCCAAACACATGTAGGTTTCCTCATGGACCCAACACTTGTTCACCCACCCTAAGGTACAAAGACCCCTCAGCCGACGTCCAACAGAGATTTAGCTTGATTTAGCTGATTGCTTCGCCTTAAATCTCGACCAACCTCGGAACTTAGTCACTTGGCCTACGAAGCTTTTGTGTCAAAAGCAAAACGTTACCAAGCAATAAATCTTCCGATTGCCACCAAACTTTTTCGAGGAGAACTTAGATAATCGCTGTCACCCTAATCTTCTGACGTGCAACAACATCGGTACTGTGGAATTTTATGCAACAAATAGGTAAAAAAAATAGTGTACTGTGAACTTTTGCTTCCAGATGCTTTCGGGGCAAGACAATTTGGCGCACGTCAGTCATAGCTTCGTAACATGCCGGCCGGAACAGTCATTCTTCCATGTACACTGGATCAGCTGACTGCTACCGCCTTTGTTCTGAAGTACCAATCAAAAAATTGATTGTAAATGCAGATATTCGCGCATTGTCTCATGTGCGAAAATTGCAATCCTCAGGAAGCTATCCTTTTTCTACATAGTCATGGAAACACTTCAGCAAGCCACTCTCAGGGTCGTCATGTATTGAGAAACTTACGGTCTACTAAAGTTTTAATTCATAGAACGAATGATTTTCAGAAAAACATTTTTGAAAGGAAAAAACTGGTGTATGAGCTTCGTACTTTTGCTTGGTTCGCGCTAAAGGTTGACACCTTCTTAGTCGATTCCGCCCCTAAACGTGTTCATACGCCGAATCGTTGTTTCACACACTTGCACACCTACGCTTGGCACACAGCCAGCATCACTGGGCCTCGTTACTCGAACGAGTTACGACCTTGTAAGAAATTCATCCGTCGAATCTCCCACAGTTCAGGACAGCGTTCAGCCATACACAGAAGATGTATCCGGCGGAAACCGCAGTAGTTCTTGTAAACAGTAGTAATTCTATACGTGTTGTTTGCCGTTAACCATGTTGTACAACACACAAAGTAGCATATCCAAATTCCCAACAAGATGGTGATGCCTCGATGGGCAATCGGCCAGTAGTAACCAGAAGAGGTTGGCAGTATGGAGTGCAGCGATACATCTGGGACCAGTCCCATAGCGCATCAGGAGTACTAATGCCCGCATCATCCCGTCTGTGAATCAGTACCTCACTAATGACAGTAAAGTGAACGAATAAGATTGGCTGCTGACTAAATTCTAAAAAAAAACACAAACAGTTGTTTGATGATCATAGCTCTGCACTGAATGATCACGCCGAACAGCTTGTGTCAGGTGACCAAGGCGATTTGTGACAATTTTTAAAGCTAAGCAGCCGGACAATCGCCTAGCTCGGGTCCGCTTACTGGTGGTTTATCCGTTCGCCCAGCTTAGCAACTGGTCGGCGACAACAGTATTCAGTAGCAGAAGAAACTAGACAGACAACTATGCCTTGTAAGGAAGTCTCTATAGCTTTTACAAACTTTAATGAGAATTAAAATATGAAGCCTACAAGGGCAACAATCGGTCACTCTCTGACAAAGTCCGAGTTGAGGCAGGGGAAACTGACAGTAGGGGTTCCTTCAAAACCCAGCGATGACTGCCTTCTTTTGAAAGCATACTGGGAAAGTCCCGCTTAAAAATACCAACTTAGTTGATCTCACTTAACTAGTTACTTATCCGCAAAAAGACTACACTGCCCTGTGGGCGGTCTGCATTAGCGGAGAAAACTCTGACCCTTTATGCTGAAACAGAAATTACAGGAACATCTACCGTTTTCACATTTTTTTCGAATCAGGTTATTCAGATTGCTTTGCAGTTTTTCGACGGAGCAGTCCCGAGATGGTGCGTTTGTACGAAAAACCAAGAGCAACTTTAGAATACCTGGAAGCATGCTGCAGTGTCTTGAATGGGTACAGTAACTCCCTTACTTCGATCGACCAGGAGCGAAAATCGCTTGCAATTGCAGGAATAAACGATGAAAATGCTGACCACACCTCAAGCAACAAGGGATGAAAACTTATTCTGGTGCACACCGGACGGAATGTGTTATACCTGCTGATTCGCCGGCCTGTGGTATCTGCTGCTGACCCGCTCCAGTGCCTAGTGTCGGAGAGAAAAGACTCACGGAAGGGAACACAACAGCTATATCTCAACAAAGCGGGTGCGAGAGCGTGAGTGCGAAAAGTGCAACGGCTTCGAGCTTTTTATTGGAAGGACACTGTCTGAACTTGGCCCAATGCTGACGCACACGGTCTGGCTGCGACGTGCTGCATATCGCGGGGGCGTTGTCTGACTTTGATCAACGCTGACTCGTGCCGTCTGGGTTTGATACAAGGCTGTGACGCGCTGCATATTGAGGGGGCGTTGTCTATCTGGTCAACATCTAGCGGAGCTGAAAGTCTCGGTAGATTTCGGGCATTCAGTGGTTGATTTCAGGAAACTGACCTTCCTGATAGAATGGGACCCAAAAAAACGGGTGTCTACGAGGTTTTTCAGCAGTTCCATCGCAAATTTCCTTGGGTTTGAAAATGAACCTTCCGTTCCTACCACATCTGTGGACAATTAACACACATACGACATTCTCCTGGCAACAGAAATCACAGAAGCCTTCTGTCATACAGCCAGGTATATATAGCAATGTGGCTTCTCAAGACAGCTAGTTGCGACTGGATTCTAATTAACCAGATACTGATTTTCTTTTCTTGCGAACCATCTGATCGGCTGTAGCGATCAGTCTAGGTAATCGTGTAGCTAGCTGGAAGTAGCTTGATCACTTGGAGTGTGAATCCACAGCCCGCCTACACACCAAAATACAACCAATGGCAGTTCGCCACGGATCAACAGTGTAAGGGTCTTCCTATGACGTCCGTTAGAATGCGGCATTTGTTTGACAACCAAGGTTTGGCTTGCACTGTTCTCGAACCCTTGTGTCTAGAAAGTGAGCCAATCAAGGTCTGTCTTTCAGCGGCATATTATGGAATAATTGGACGCAACTGGGAAAAGATGCGTTCAAATGAGATAGCCGCTGTTTGTCCTAGAATGCTTGTGTACGTGCACACCAAATTGTGTCCATCAGCGTGGTTTTCGCAGAGAGAACTAGGTTGCCAAGGATCACCATAGTTGAGAATGATCAACCAATAGTTGAGTACAATCATTCTGATTCACTACAGTTTGTCATTGGTTACCGAATCGGATGCATAAGACTGGTATGTTTGTGTCGTGGACCACAATCTCCTTAATGCCTTCTTATTACCGTGAACCCCGGTCTGGATAACCAATTGATCGCCTGGTGCGTTTGACTAAACCAGAAAAAAGTCAATGAACGTGCGAACCGGCTGATCTATTGATCACTGTCGCGTACAAGCGGGTCAAAAAAGTGATACTAAGAATACAACTCATGTGTCAAGGGCGAGTGAAGAACAACCAATGAAATGTCTCAACAAAAGCGGTTATTCCATTGGCTGTTATATAGTCCCGTTACGTTCGGAGCCGGTTCTCCTAACAGTTTGGATGAGACCAAAGGAGAAGTGGTTTTGTTGGTGGTATGTGTTTCATTTCGCTCTTTTGGCCGGTTATTATGGTTATGAGTAAGTACCAAATGGTCGTCGCATGCTGTTCCCAATTCCAGTTGAAGCACTAGAGGCCATGAATTGTTTAGGAAATCGGTTTGTGAACCCGGCCCGCTCTGGAAGAACCGGGCATTGTGAATGTTGGCGTTGTGATCATTCACACATCCATGAAAAATATTGTCGATTCCTTTCCATTGATTGGAATTCGTCTTCCATGTTTTATAAATCAAGCCGTCCGGGTGTTCAGTCAACCTAAACAATCTGAGGATTGAATTATGTACACAGATTGTACGTTCTTTACCGGGACCATGGTCCTTATTCAACCAAAAATATCGCTCCAAGGTTTTGCTCATGTTGAGCGTCGTAGAGCTTCCGTATGGCTTCGAAGGTATTGTTGCCATTCTGGTACTAGAATAGTCAGCGGAGAATACAGGCGATGATCGGTCTTGGGATGTACTCACTTTTAGCACAAAGTGACGTTCTAGTTCGTTAGCATCTAAAGGAACTTAATTCGCTTGCAGAGGACGTCGCTGACAGATAATCAGCATGAGCCCAACCTAACCACAATTCAAAACGAATACAAAGTATCTCTCCCTCAAACAGTTTTCCGACATGACTGAGCTACAGTACAATCTGACGCCCTTTAAATATAAGTGTAGACAATGGACTTCTTTCAAAAGTGAGGGAGTCATCGCCCCACCCCACCCCCCGATTAAGGGACCTCCATCTCGGAAGAGGTCACTTTATCCGCTTTCCCTGGGCAGAACGAGGTCAGCGAAATGAAAGTCAGTGTTTTCGGTCGCAATATTCAATATCAAACTCGTCAAGTTGCAAAAGGTAAACCATGGGGCTCTATGCAAGCAAATCAGCTGAGAGGAGACTAAGGCAAAAACATCCACATGATGTCAAAGCAAGCCTGAAAAAAGAAGCAAGGGGTTGTACACAAGCTCTGTCCAGGACGATATGATTGGGTGAACGAAGGCGAACAAAGTTAGCTCGGACAGGAAATGCAGCAGATAGGCGGGAATGCTCCACCAGGGAATTACATTGTGTTCTTAAAATAGGCTGATCCATATGAATTGATTGAAACATAACTGGCGTTTTGTAGACATTTGGTCGAACAAATCAACAACATGATAGAAGAGAATCCAAAACGATAACAGTATTTGTGGCGATACAAGCACAAAACTAGGAGACGGTAAATAAATCATAGAACTGCTGGAGTAAAGGGGATCAACATGGAAGGAGGCACTTGGGACAGTTATCAATACACAGAAGCGGGACAATAGTTAATTCGTATACAAAATCCATTGAATAAAATTGCAGCCATGACGAAACACGCGAAGACAACAATGCAAATCCAAAAACAAACTTTTTCCCACTTCTCGACTTGAAGATTACGTAGAATGGGTATTCCCAGAAGAATACCTGAAAAAATGGAAGCGAACAGTACACTGTGGCTGATACAGAGGAAAAATCGATTGAGTACCTACTTTCGATGTCGGTGAAGTCTAGCGAACAACATTCAGTGAGTGAGTACTTTTCATTAGGACCCATTACCATCCGACCTATGCATAGGTCGCGAACAGAGCCTGATACAGTGCAACCCAGTGAGGCATGTGTAAAGCCGATGGAGTAAGCTAAGCAGGCAAACACAAGAGGCCGCCGCTATAATGATATGATGAGTGAAACTTAACAGTACACGTTAACGCTCGAGCCGTCAAAAACGAAGTCAAAACAAGCAGTCAACCGTTGGGACAAATCACACAACCAACCGAGAAATTCGCACACGGCTTATTACAACCATTCAACCTGTAGATGAGGCGAAAATACGCTGAAAAGCCAAGAAACACTGTACAGCTGTTTCATACTTACGGGAATCATCAGCACTGTGTGCATCTCACGGAACTCCAGAGAGCTTCGAAACCGTGAACGCTAAGCAGTTCGGTCAGAAGCGGCTACTCATCAGTCTGACTAACTCACATCAAGTTATCACGTGGTCGGGATTAAATTAATCTTCGTACCAATTTGTCAAAATATAGGTGGCTCCGGTGTGCTTATTGGTGGTTGATCAGATGGCAGCTGATCTGTTCGCCGAGCTTGGCAATTGGCTTGCAAACGTTTCGTCCTCAGTCGAGGAGACATTGTCAGTGCGTAGTTGAGTGCGCACTGTCTCCTCGACTGGGGACGAAACGTTCGCAAGCCAATTGCCAAGCTCGGCGAACAGATCAACTGCCATCTGATCAACCACCAGTAATCTTCGTACCATGATGAAGGTAAGCGAGCGTAGATTGACCATATTCGCTACGGATGCTTGGTGCGATGACATGGCCGGAATTCCGCGCGTCTTAGTTTATACCAACTGGACTAAAAAGATGGACCAAGTGGATAGAGCGCGAATTTACTGACCGGAAGGTCTGTGGTTCGAACCCGACCTCTCTCTCTCGACTTCCCCTGTCTAGGCTTGGGCAACCTGACAGTATCCCAGCCCTCGTGCTTCCTTCGTGTGGCATGGCAGCTGGGCACCGAAATGGTGTCACAGCTGAGCGATTTCGAATAAAAAGCACCCACTGGTTATGAGGTAGCGTTATAAAACGAACGTTACTACCTGAGCGCAATCAGTGTGAACACATTTCTGAACCCAAAAGAAAACAGCTGGATGGAGGATAACACAGCCACTATTGTTCCTAAATCTCCGAGCCTGAAGGACTGGGGATAGATATGGATACCATTGACTTCTGTAATCATCCAGTCTCAAACTGCCAGAGCAAGACAAAGCGTGTACGATCTTAAGCGTGATGATAAACGCCATCATTGGCCTCATAACGGATATCAGACTGAACCCCTCAGAACACAAAATAAGCTATGCTTCTGGTAAAACAGCGAACAACATTGCAAATGTTGGTCCATCGTACTCGAGTTTCGCTTCGTGTGTATATCACGAGTCCGTGGAGACTCGGTGAGATAGATTATCGGAATACCGGAATAAGTGTGAAGGAGGGCGAGGAGACCCGGGGATTCTTTCCACTGAAAATCCCATCGCCAAGTGAGGTGGATTTCGAATGAGGGGAAGTACACGTTTTTTTCAACAGTTTGGGCGAAAAATAGTACGCCACCAACAAAGGCAGTGAACAATTAAAGATCTCGAGAAATGCACTCATTTGCGAATCAATTTGGTTTTCACGAGAGACTCAACTGAATCTCTCGTTTATGATATTCTACAACTGAAGGTGCCGCACACAGGCCGCCTCATGTTTCCATTGGCACAATATTCGAGATATCGCAGTATATTTTCGTAAAGGAAACTACTCACAAGGTCGAAGAGTTTTCAGCAACCTTTATGAAAAAAATCAAAGATCTCTTTCACCCACGTAGTAGGTGGACTCTTGAATTCATTTTCCCAGTTCCAACTGCTTAAGCTTTCTACTGCTAGTTACGTCTGATAGGTTTCTGATGGGTTACTGACCGGAAGGTCATGGTTCGAGCCCAATATGGTTTTACCGTCTTGTTTCCCTCACGTGCAGTGATAATTATGCACAGTAAGGGTGCTACCTGCGAATGGTGGCGACTTATTACTTTACATGTGTATTAGTACACGATAGGTGTTAAGTTAGAGAGAGTTGCTTTCTTTCAAATTCTAGGGGCATTACTCCAAAACAATCGTTCAGCTGTAGCACGCTTTCGGTGCCTAACAGCCACGCCACCAAAGGGAACCACAGCGGCTTCGCTACGGCCAGGTTGTCCGAGCCTAGACAGAAGTTGAGAGGCAGAGGTCGGATTCGAACCGCGTGGTTGTGCTCTGAGACGGTGATAATCGGAAAAGTTTTGTGTGAAAAACTATTGCAAGGGGAGCACTCCGCTATAGGGGCCCATGCAGCGAGAAAAAAGGACGTACCGGCAACAAAACCACCGAGATGGGCAGAGAACCCGACACGAGTGCCCAGCGGGTTTTTGTATCGCGCGTAAATAGCCAATCCAGTGTCGCTACCAGCTGGTGTGTGGGGAAGGAGTGAGAGAGGAAAAACCATTGTGGTACCAGATCACGTAACTGAAACTAGCTAATAAATGGTGAAGGGACAAAATTATCACGCACGTTCTATTGGACGTGGCTTGCGTTTGCAAGGATAACAAATTTCACTTCGTTGGTGTGTAGAAACACACCTCAGAATATATCATGTGAGCTAACGAATTGACGATTCATGCGGTTATTCAGTTAGTCTCTAAAAAAACCATAAGCTAAGCTACTGGAATGTTTCAGTAGGTTTTTGATTTAGATATTTATAGGCAACTGAATATTGCTAGCTTTCGAAAGTCACTCATGATTTTGTCGTGCCAGAACTCGTATTCTTTGGCGTCAAAATTCCACGCGACACAGCAAGCGAGACTCATCAAAGACTTTGGTCAAGGCCTACACACTCGTAAAGAAAGCTATCGGTACTTCCACTGAAGGTCATAGAATCGGTCCAACTTATTGTTCCTCGGTATTTGACTAACCGACAAGATATGAGTTATACGGGTAAAGTAATGTGGTGGGGAAAGGTGGATGATTCATACGTAGCACCGAAACAAAGGCATCCTCCCAATCTATCTATTTGGACCCGACCTCTGACTCTCGACTTCCCCTGCCCTGGCTTGGGCAGTATCCCAGCACTCGCGCTTCCTTCAGGGAGCATGGTACGGGAAAAGTGCCACGGCCGAACGATTAACTCCCGTAATTGCCGCCTCTAGAAATGGTGAGTAAGCCTTATCGAGTGACCAACACCAACACAGTTTCCCCATATAAAGTTCGGTCACAAAACAAAAACCGGCAACAACCAGAAAGCTCAAAATTATCGGCATATCTCAGTAGGTGAAGGTGAGGGTATGCCAAGGTTAACTCGGCCGTTTAGCACTATAGTCAGTTGACTACACTCGACCTAAAGCTGCCACCTTATCGCTGTAGACGTGCTTATGCGCTGCAATGATGCAACAGATTATACTGGCTGTTCAGCCATGACAGGAAGGCCCGTGAGGAACAGCCGACAAAGAACAGCGAGTCTCCGTACTTCGAGTAATCGTATTGCGCGGCAGTCTGGAGGTAAAATCGTACTGTCCTCTCCGATGGGAGTGTGGAGACAGTTAGATGTTCCCTCCAGGGGACCACCATGTCCACATTCATGGAAACAGCGACACTGCCTTTCTCTGAGGAAGGAGGGTTGGAAAAGGTCGGCCCCAAAAACCGCACACTACGATTGCCCAATGGTTGACCGTGACCGCCGGCGCATTATTCAACACGGTCAAAATACTTTTAAAACCAGAGTCCGGTGCTCTTCGGGAGGCACCTGCTGTGCGCAGCTGCACTAGGAACGAGATAGTAATGCCCTATTCCCTGCGCCCTAGGGCCACGCCGGCTACCTACAGCCAAGTGGGTCAGACTAATGAGTCATTAGCTCCTGGAGTGATTCCGCAAGAAAGCCCTAACAACCGCCACCTCACTACTCAGATTTTTGAGTCAGAGGCTGGGGGCAGGGTTCTCCGAACAAAAACTCCTCCCGCTGCCTTGTGGGTAAGACTTTTGAGGCCCAAGCTCAAGGTGGGGTGCCTCAAACAAAATCCCATCCTCGGCTTGGGCAATGGAGGAGTACCACTCGCCTTGGAGCTCTTCACTCAACGGCCCTAGCCCACACCCTCTCTCCATCCACCGAATGATGCACTGCAATCAACTCTGCTCACTCCCCCAGTAGTGGTTCCTTGTGTAAACCATCGCCTAGAAAAATAAATCGAAATAACCACTTAGTAACTCCAAAAGATTTGATCCGTGTTGCAGCCTTCACGTCTGTAATCTATGTTAGATTGGGCAACAGTCATCCCTTCTTGTCGATATACGATGTGTCTCCGGAACACGCATACAAGAGCCGACCTTTGCTGTGCATATAAAGCCTCCTAGGACAAACCGAAATGTTTCACTTCTCTGATGTCTGGTGACCCTGACACAATGTCTCATAGTGTATGGGAGTTGCGCTCAGCCCCAACGCTGAAAGCGCATTACTGAATTGGATCCTAGTAAACAGTCGACTTTGCGTTGTGCGGTTGTCCGGCTCAAGTAAGATTAATACAGGTCAATGCGGCAAACGTTGTTTGTTTGTCGTATCAGCGTAAGTTCTGACAGACAGTAGTTCTGAGACCGATAAGGACGGCTTTTAACAAAAATCGGTCCCGACTGCTTCGGCCGAAAAGAAGGAGGTATAGAACAATCCTGGCGAGTGATGGGAATGCCCAATGTGGACGCCTAAGCTCAGAAGAAACACAGTTAGGTGCCAGATTTGGAATTCATGCCCAGCGTACCGATGATGGGGAGAGACTGCTTCCGTTGTGTACAGAGCAAGTACAAACTTTCAGCAGAGACGCTCACATCAAGTTACTTGGAGGCCACCAACCGTGAGACATTCATGGACTCGATTGGATCATATGGCTATCAGTAAACGATGGAAGGACTCAAATGTCATTCCTTCCGCAGTACACAACTTGACTCTTGTCAAGCCATTGTGCGGGGCCGGTTACTACTTCGCTCTCCGTCGCTCAGCGTTACGTGTGCCAAACCAGAGCGAATCCATTCACCAACTTGGGCAAGTTTCACAAGCTCGAGCTTATCAAGCTGACCTGTCTAGAAAACTGCTGGGAACTCAGTGATACAGATGATGAAGATTGCTTGGAGGCTGAATGGAAGCGGGTTGAAGAAGCTGTGCTCAAAGCTTTCAGAACTGTTTGTCCAAGCCATCTAACACGACTAAATGGACAGCGAATATCATCGAGATCAGGAGATTTTATTCCTGCCAGAAAGACCACACCAGCAACTAGCGAGTATGATGGCGCACGCAGATCCCTCAACACGGGAAAATCAGGAGCCTGAAGAATAACAGAGCGCTGGTGGACTTCGAGGACCCAGAAGATGGAAACGACTTTCTCTGCAGGCAACAACCGCGCCCTATTTCAGCTGATTCGGTCAATCAGTCAGTAGAGGACAACTGCCGGCGAAACAATATGCGAAAAAGATAGAACCGTGATCCACTGAAACAATCGGTGATTGAGCGATGGACTGGGTACTTCAAAGGACGGTTCAGCCGGTCTCCTTCAAAACAACCGCACGAAGAACCCAGCGGACCTGGATGGTGTGTACCCCACACTCTTCAAGGAAGGCTGTCAAATCCGGGTGATCAGTCTGACGAACACACCACAGGTTTGGAACGAAAACAGAATACCTGTGGAATAAAGCTCATCGACCAGCATCTGTCTCCAAATGGCACAAGAAGGTCATGAGCATAGCATCTTGGAATCAGCCGCGTATATGTCACATCTAAGGTGCTCTCTGGCAATTTTTGCTCAGGTTGATCGATTATCGAAAGAGACATATTCGTGAAAATCAAGCTGGGTTTCGTCCTGGTCGAGGATGTATCGACAAGTTCTTGGATAAAGCGACTCTTTCAAACGTCTCACGACAGTCGTCTTTTACATGAAAGCTGCTTTTGATTTTGCGGTCGACAGGGGTCTACTAGAGGGTCCCATCTAAATTTATATCCCTTGTGATAGTACAGTAGGCTTACAGCACTTTCAATGATGTAAGACAAACTGGGTTTCGCTCTGGTCGTGGATGCATCGACCAGATGTTTACCTTGAGACAAATCCTTGAACAGCCTCACTCATTCAGACGTCCCACGTTGGTAGTTTTTCTGGATTTGAAAGATGCTTTTGATTCTGTCGACCGTCAGCAACTTTGGCAGTGTCTGGCGATCAAAGGTGTCCTTTCCAAACTTCCCTCCTTTATGACGGCATTGTATGCGAACTCCTGTGGGTGCGAACGAGTATACAGGAAGCTCTCGCCTGAGTTTGCCACTTTCAGTGATGTCGGACAGACTGGACTATCTCAACATTCCTCTTCAATTTCACAACTGATGTGCTGCTTCAAATTTCTCTGTCGCCCGTGAAGACTCCTAAGTCGAAATGCTCCCGCGACGTTCGCTCACAGACATTGGATATGCGAACGACATTCTTGTCCTTTCAAAAATTCAAGCCATTGACAGAAATCGTAGGTGGATCTACTAGACGGAACTGTGACGAATCAGTGCGATTTCAATTCCACACGCACGACGTGCGGCAACATCCGTGGCAGCTTCGTTTGTAGGACACTCCCTTGTAAGGGAGATCCGTCGAAAAGGTTGTCTTCCCTCCGGGATTATGTTTGACTGAATTCATATTCGTTGATCCGACAACCAATGGTCGAACTGAAGTCAGGTGTCTAGAAAAGATGGCTAGCTCCAAAATTGAATTGGTCTATCAGGCCTTTAGCAAGCTAAGCGAATATTCGTCACCTCTCTACTATATTGTTTTTCATGACCATCATCATCGGCAGCATGATATCAGTGTTCAACACTGCCATACAACCACGATTTATTTGAAAGAAAAGAGTAAAGGTGGACGGGGAAGGGACTTAGTGCAAGCTTACCACAATCATTCTGAGGTGCTTATACCTCCAGACGCTCACTCAAGCAATGTGGATAGAAACTGACAACAAGGTCGGCACTGACATCGGTTGGCAGCCATATCTTGTAACGTCTCCAACCAGACACAGTGAGGATCACGCGGTCCCCAGCCTGGAAGGCGAGTAGCACCGACAGCACCCAAGCGTTTCGTGATCTCCTCCATACTCTGCCAAGTCAAGGGTTGGTCATCTTTCTGTTTACGCCACTCTGAATTGGGCATGGAAAGCAACACGCTCTTCGGCAAACGACGGTTCAGCATACGCAACACATGTCCCAACCAACGCAGCATCATGATCATCAAGCGTCCATCGACATGTACAAACATACTGAACCTTCGTAGATAAACTCAACCGCTAATGCCAGGCCAGCGCTTTGTTTTCGTACACACAACTCTTGTTGACGTCACAAGCTAGCGGGTAATCTTTTAGTACGCATGATTGGACGACGCAATGATTGGACTGCACAGTGCGATCCAGCAAGCTGATCGTATTGGATACAAGCATGTGCCAAACGTATACTATTGTGTCACACGACTCTACAGCAAAAGATCACACGCAAAGTATTTTCATAGAAAATAAGAGCTAGAAAAAACGAAAAGGTCAAGAGTTTTTTTTTGAACGACCAATCTGTGAAACCTTCTGACTCAAGCATCCGCATCACCTGCCTGAACGAACAGAAACCAGAATTCCATCAAATGAATAGCATTCGCATATTATGTCCGATTCGAAGGCATGTGTTTGTGTTCTGACGAAAGAGACAGAAATCGGCAGACGGTCAACGTCATACTGACCTAGAAGATGCGGTTCAATCTCGAGCTGCACGAGGGCTGCGATACTGCTAGGTCGGCCAAGCCTAGACAGGGGAAGTCGAGTGGCAGAGGTCGGGTTCGAACCACGGACCCTCCGGTCAGTCAAGTCGAGTGGCAGAGGTCGGGTTCGAACCACGGACCCTTCGGTCAGTCAATTCGTGCTCTGACCACTTGAGTCATCTCGAGCGGATACAAATATAAATTAGCCACCAGAAACTCCAGGGATATGACTTTTTCTTTGTGAGTTCCTGATGCACTGTTCTAATTTCTGTCAGCGTGCAGATTTTTGTTCCAGAAAAGGCCTTTACTTTGAGTAACAATTGACGATGGAATTCGGCAACTAAGTCAGAAGTGAACGTCCGTATGAGGAATGCATCCACACGACTGATCAACGCTTACAGAACACATGTAAGTTGCACTACGAACCGTTTACTCGTAGATTCAAGCCGATTTCAATTTTAGACTTCTGAGAGCGCCGCACTGCAAATGGGTACCCCAATGGGTGGGAGCTAACCTCAAACTCCAGTGGAAGTGAGGGGGACGTAGGTTCAGGTAAAACCGCATAGCCTACAGCCCCGTGTCTTTCCTTAGGTTGTTTGTTGAGGAGAACAAGCTATGAGAGGTGGGGAAGCCAACCACACTAGGTTTAAACTAAAAAAATCTATCACAAAAACGCTGTCCGTTCGGGCGAAATAAGCGATGAATCGGTAGACTCACCCAACAGAAGGATTAAGAACAATCGGACAACGCCGCTGGATAGAAAGTTTATTGGATTGTCCAGCCACTTGTCCTGCATTGCTTTCCAATTCTGTAAGAAAAACAAACCATGTGGACAGAGTCAGTTAGAGCATGGTCGAGGATCTCTGTATGTGAGCTACTTAGATTGAATAAAGGCACACAGATCAAGAGATGCTGGAAGCACACCATGGTTACCATTGGGAACTATCGCATCAGTACGTAGTCGGCCAGTGATGCTCCATGAAGTCGTTCAGCTGTAGCACCCTTCCGGTGCCTAACTGCCATGTCGCCCGAAAGAAGCTAGGATACTGCCAGGTTGCCCAAGCCTAGACAGAGGAAGTCGATAGGCAGAGGTCGGGTTCGAACCACAGACCTTCCGGTCAGTAAATTCGCGCCCCAACCACTTGGGCCATCTCGCTCCCAGTGGTGCTCCATGCTGCAATTGTGTATGCTTTCGCAGACAACACTCCGCAAACCGCAAACATTTGTTATTCACAAGAATTTTGTTTTGTCCACAGAGTGAATGTGGACGAGGTGATTGCAGCGCCGTCTAAGTTACTTTATGGCATTTCTGTGAGAGTAGGCCCATCAGTACGATACTACCGCAAAGATGCTAGACTTTCCCGTGAACATGTTCGGACGGTTCCACCAAGGTACACGAGCCAGAGCATCAGAGACTTCGACGGACATTTAGAGGAAACGCCCCAAATAGGCAATACAGTGTCCAACGGGAGCAGAAACAGTGGGAAGTCAAGTTGTTTACGCAAGGCAACACGCAATTGATTGAAAAGGATAACGTCTCCGTGGAGAGGAACAAATAAACAGCACGGTAGCCATGCCGGCTAAATTGCTACGTTTGCTCGGACAAAAGCAGATAACGGAAGCGTAGGATGAACACAAACACTTATGACATATACGGAAGAACGCCAGCGAACGAGAAATCCATTAGCGCCATAGATTTAATAAACTCTGAACAGTCCGTAGGTTCAGAAGATACAGCGACACATTAGATTCACCAATCAGAGCTTCGGTTGCCAGTTAAAACGGTACGCAATACGACGCTGGGCTCAATTCTCGGTCTCATTCCGCAAGAAATATTCAAAATGAGAATGCGTCCTACTATCTGTTCTCCATTTGATCTTATTTCTCACCAAGACGCACATCTGCGGAATAAGCGACCTGACCGCTTCCAATTCCCGAATTACACTATTTTCGTTTTAATTAATTAATTAAGGAGAGATGTAATTAGGTTGGTCCCTTTACTATTGGTCACCTGATTTGTGCACTTCTGCTTTGAAGAAGGCATCCTCCGGCAAGAGTAAAAAATTTTGTAATTCCCACCGCTCTCTTAACACCAACAAGACGTCTGAAATCCTCCTTCCTAAATGTCAACTGCAGACACATTATCCAGTCTAAGCACAAAGCTGGGTCGGAAATTTTTCGCTATTTTCACGTTCGTCACTCCAAATGGCTTCTTTACTGAACTATCACAGATCAGGCTAACCGAAAGTCACAGTGAGCTCCCCAACTTGTGACTTCCTAGAGGCATCTCGGACCACGAAGGTTGTAGTTCACAACCTATGGCCCAAGTGGTTAGAGCGCGAATTCACTGACCGGAAGGTCTGTGGTTCGAACCCGATCACTAACTCACGACTTCTCCTGTCTAGGCTTGAGCGACATGGCAGAATCCCAGCCCTCGTGCAACCTTCAGGTGGAATGGCAACTAGCACCTAAAAGGTGCTAAAGCTGAACGAATTTTTTTTGGATCTTGATTTCATAACCAAACCTGCCTTCAAAAATATCTTTCTCCACCATTCTAGGATCGTTAGACCAAGACCTACTAGGCTTACTAGGCATAAACAATGGTCATATCAATCGGTTAGCTGTATCCAACTTTCGGCACCTGGCTACCTGTAAGAAACCCAAGAGCTGAGATGCTAACACGTTAGCTAAACCGAGACAGGAGAGATGCAGAAGTTAAGTTCGAACCACGGACTTTCCGATCAGTCTTCTCTCACATTTAAACCATTGAACTATCTGGTGCACACGTCATCATCTTGTTGACCTGTTTTCGGGTAAGTATCTCACGCCATCTGCCTCAAATGGCCTACCGACTTGTTCCCAGGGGTTCATGGAACTCCTCATCAATGAGGTTCATCTCTTTATTACTCAGGTATTGTGTTCCTGACAACTTATCCTTCAAAGTGACTAGTTTTAACCTTAGCTATGTGCCATGTATTCCATTGCCTATCAGGTCCAGCAACAGCAGATACATATAACGCACTTGAGGCCAGCTGTTCCTCGGTGTAATAAACTGGTCAGTTCCTCGCTAAAACTAGTACGCTTGACAGAATGAATGAAGCTGCAGGTAATGAAGGAACCTTCCAGAATATACCTATATAAAAATGAACTCCCTCTGACCATTTCGTTATCTTCGTTCGAACGACACTCCATATGACTCGTGGTTCACTCTTATTAGACCTCACTTTCGGTTGTCAGAAGCTGAAATCCAGTGCGCGAGCATGACAAATCTGATACCGATGGCCAATCCAGAAAGAGATGCTGCAGTCGTAAATATGTTCAGATGGCGAGATGGCTCAAGTGGTTAGACTGCGAACTTGCTGACCGGAATTTCCGTGGTTCGAAACCGGCCTCTGCCTCCCCGACTTCCCCTGTCTGGGTTTGGGCAACCTCGCAGTATCCTAGCTTCCTTCGGCCGGTATGGCAGTTAGGCACCGAAAGGGTGCTACAGCTGAACTATTTTTTCCGGTATCTTTCATGACAATGACAATTTCCAACAAAAGGGAAACCGTTGGACAGCGCATAACATAACTTGACGTCGTTGTACAGGAGAAATCACTATTGAGGCTTACTATCTCATGACGAGTATACAAACTGAGTCACAGATATGATAGAGTCAGACCTGGGAACCAAGTGAATTACATTAGCTTTGGAGCGAAGATCCTCAGGTTGGCCGAAAATCACGCATTAGAGCTTTATCTGACTTGCCGTAAAGCTTGACCAGATACAATCCACTCACCATAATGATGCTGGCCAAATGCGCGCCAATCAGGGCGTAGCAACCGCCACTGGCTCCAGCTAGGAGAACGTACGGATCTGTGACTGAGTGGGCCAAGGAGCCTGAAGCAAAAGGATAACAGGAAAGGAAAGGTAACGGACATGCCTCGAGTGATGTTTGAAAATAGCGAAATTATAGTTGTGGTACAAGTCTACTATCAGCACGAAGAATTTGGTTTATAACAATATGCGAACCAAAGGGACATACGAAGTCCGATTTAGTACCGCATGTCGAGAGTTCACTTGAGCACTGAGCAAACAACTCGGTCTTGAACGGCCATTTGAAAACAGTAGAGCTTTTTCAGGCGCACGAACCGTGGGACGGCCAGTATCTGTAACGAGACCCTACCGCCGTGTGGGTTGCACTTGAACGTGCAGGGACTGGAAAAGCGAAGTCGAACAAATGGTAAATCTGACTGATGAGATCGACCCAGACTCCAGCGACCTCTCCGATGGCCTGTTTTCCACCTCTTCCTGCTGCCTTGCGGTCTGTACTTGGTTCTCCCTCAAACAGAAGGCGTGTAGCATTGGGGATGTCGCTCATACACAAATCCCCATGTGTTTTCATGCGTCGGTTTTCGCGCAGAAATGATCACCAGGAGTAGAGAATGACGAAAAGCTGAGTGCACCTCTTATCGTTGACCAGCTCGTTTGGCCATTTGTAAGCTACGTTCGTGGGCCAGTTGGAGCAGGTATAGGTGATTAGGCGGAAACTATGACAGTGATTACAGTTACCGGGCCGTCGTTCGATGAGTCGGGCACACCAGTCACATCGCTCAAGTGTGAACACGTTCGCCTGTTCAGACGTGACCAACGTGCGTTGGTGGAATGGTGGTTACACGTTCGGCTCGCATGTCAGATGCCCGGGGTTCAAATCCCGGCACGGCGATTGGATATGCACCGCTGATGAGCTCTAGTAAGAACGAAACTCACCGGAATAATGACGCCAGAAGAGGAACACGACCGTTCGAACGGGAGTGGTGTGACTATGAGCAAAAAGACCACAGAAATGATAGTTCTCACAAGAGGAGACTGATCCGGAACGGACGTACAGCTACCCACGTTAAGACAGGTCGCCCTTGGGCGCCAAACCCAGTTCCTTCCAGTAAACTGCGAATCTTCTGTGTAAGATGCATGTTTACCTTGAGGAGGATAAGAAGTGAACATTGTGACAACCGGTTTCACTAGTTTCAGACAGGCTGTTGGGCATCAGGTAGGCCGGCACAAGTTGCCACCCGATAACCGGATAAGTGTAGAACTACAGGAAGTTTTCTTAAGACCTATAGTGTCATCAGCAAACAAGAAATAGCGAATAGGGACGACAAGGTTATACGACTCATAACCCGAAAATACCTCTGTACAGTGTGCACAAATGGGTTGAGAAGCCATGACAAAAATAGCTGGTGCGAATGAAACATCAATTTCTAACGTGAGGCAAGATTAGCGGTACGTAGTGCAGAAAATTTACGTATTCGACTTTGCGGGAAGATGAGGTGTTTGCCTCACGGGGGTGATCTTTGTGGTCGTGTTTCCCAGCTACTTCGACAGAACAAAATTGAACAACTACACCATGACCCTTATCAGGGGCTATAGTTGGATGACCATACTTGATCTGTTGTCCTTCGTTTCTTGTAAGAACCCCTAATTACAACTGAAATGTACTGCCACTCACGTGGCTTCTGTTGATAGTCCTATTCCCTGTCAGCCGTGTTTCCTACAAAATGAGCGAGATTTCACGTTGACAGACCATCGACAAGCTGCACAAGGTTGAACTTCGATTTCGAAATATCAACAGACGGCTTGTGAAGCAAGTTGTTCAGACACAGGCGAACGAAGGAGGTTGCATTCATTCATTTCATTATCAGCTGTGATAACCGCGTACTCGTCGTACAGTGGTTCTAGCTACCGCAGTTCCGTTCACTCACCGTGCATACCACGCGGGAGATGATAAATTGGTGCATAAATCCAACACTGTCAGTGGGCTGTCAAGTGGGAGAGGGGGTCGGAAAAGGAGCTATGCATTGAAGACAATAGCTTGGATGGACGAGCGCCATTGAAGGCGCGACTGGGCCATGTCTGACAATGTCTCTAGCCATTGATGTGGCCCGTCTAGCGGTTCCCATCCAGGAACACGGCAGTGACCAGCGCAGCTGAGTTTGCTGGTAATGGCTTTCACACTTCACTGCCAAGCCATTGTTTGACCGCCTCTGGCTCTCTTCCACCTTTCAAGTGGTTGTGAGAAAAGAACCCTTCGAGGAAGTCGGTCGACTGGCATACGCATTACTATGGTACTGTGTGAATGGTGTCCTCTCGGAGAGATTACAAACTACATGGAGAGCCAGCAAGCACACTAAGAGATTGCAAACTACAAACTTCATCCCAGTGTCTTGAGGATCAACTTTTGACCGAAAGACTGTGGAGCTTACTTTGAATGAAAGCCACGCCACGCTAAAAACGCCACCCTCATAAAATTTCTCGCATTTACGAAGCCAGCCGGGAAAGCTCGTCGTTTTGATGGAAGTTGGAAACGCAGCTGTAAAGTGATTTACTTCGAATGTTGAAGACAACGCTTGAGGTTACCATAAGGTTACCGTTTCACATCCAGCAGCCACCTACTGTTTTCAGGGTTATTAGAGTCAGGCCTGAGGACTGTCAGTGGTTACGTCACAGAGCTTCAAATTTATTGCCAATGAATAATTGGAAAGACGCTAAGAAATGTGCGGATGTTGTTTGTGAACTAGGAGTGGTTTGAAGCATTTTGTTCAAAAATTCACAAACCCAGAAAGCCGAGATAAAAATGGACGTCAATGTAAAGTTAAAAAGACAAGCTGAGAAGAATTAGGCGCGAAAGTTCAAATGGGCATACCGGCAATGACCCCGAGAAGATAGACGAGACCGCAACGCCAGAACTTGTGCACCAGCTCAAGCAGCATCCCCAGGACCAGCTGAAGTAGGCAGTTGAAGGCCAAATGAACGTAGCCATTGTGTATAAACATGTAGGTGAGAAAACGCCACGCCTCGTGTCGCTTTCGAGGATCGTAGATGAGCGGACTGTAGATCGGGACACCAGACGCGGCAGTCACATCATTGTATGGGTCTGAGTCCCAGGCATGGAGAAGGCCATAGTAGATGAACACGCCAATCTAGTGAAAAGAGTTGGGGGCAAATAAACAAAGTACGAATATGTGATCAGTTGCAAAGGATGGTGCAGGTGAACCGCCATTCGTGGTGAGGATCAACACAAATCGGGGCGGACACGTTACTTTGAGACTATGAATGCCTTATGTGATTTGTGGCTCCAAGATTCTGGGTTACGGTATTGAAGAACACGTCATAGAAAACTTGTCAACTTTGGACGACTAACACATATTCTCAGCTTGTGTTTTGTGCACTGGATCTAGCCTTTCTTGGAGTTTTACAAATGAGCAATTAAGTGACAGATGTCTTAAGGGCCTTAGCAAGAAGGTTCTTTCAGTAGATGAACGTGTCCATCCATCAATAATTGAGAATCTAAACTCACATGCAAGGTAGAGTGCGATCGATTTCATGGCAAAATATAGCGTGTGCAATACATCATCATACAAGCAATATTTCCTGGAGGGATAACTTCGATGAATAACGGGTCCTCTAAAAACAGCAGATTTTTTGACAGTACAAGCGAACCACACAGGAAGGGACCTAATGCCTTTTAACATCCCTACATGATCAAATACAGTCAACATATACTACAATGGGGCGAGATGGCCCAAGTGGTTAGAGCGCGCATTGACTGACCGGAAGGTCCGTGGTTCGAACCCGTCCTCTGCCTCTCGACTTCCCCTGTCTAGGCTTGGGCGACCTGGCAGTATCCCAGCCCTCGTGCAACCTTCGGGTCGCACGGTAGCTAGGCACCGGAAGGGTGTTACAGTTGAACGGTTTTCGGGTTTACACATACTACAATGCACAAGTAGATGTTTGAGGGATTTTACAGGTCCGCAAGTGAGTGATAAATCGCTTAAGTGGGTGACTTGAATTGTGAATTGCAGTGATAAGAAGAGGAAGAACGGCGCAAGTACTGACCGATATATGTTTAGGCAAGCGGCTGATTGCCCAACTCTAGTCGAAACAACGATGCTCTAAATAGTTAATGTGTACATAGGCGGCTCCAAATGTGCACTTGTACGTATAGGCATTTGCTCCGATAAGCAACTCAATCACGAGGTCGATGACGAACGTAGACAAAGGGCAGTCCTGACAGACACCACTTCCAGAGGGGTGATGCACTCCGGACAACACTTTCCTTCCAACTCTAAGCATCCAGGGGTGCTCGAGTGTAAACATTCGAGGAGTATGGTAGAAATGTTCGGCACACATTCGAAGCAAACACAGACACAAAGCAGCATTATCGACCGTGTCGAACGCTGATTTTACCCCTGAGAAGACAATAGCTGACCTTCTGTGTGTGGCGGTGTTCGAGCTGTCATGAAGATGTCAATACATCCACGACCCGGAGGAAACTCTGTTTGATTTTCGCGACTCAGACCCTCACAGTGCTAGTAAGCTCACATGTGTACACATCTTGGAAGCGCGATGGCGACTAGATTGATACCCCGATAATTCTCAAATTGAGATCTAACATCTTTTTGAAGATAGGAACATAAGATATCGGCCATTCCACTGGCACTTATTCGCCTTCCATGTGTCCTGCGTGAGCTTTGTCAGGCTATGGACGAGACATTCTCCTCCATCCAAGGGAATGGGAGACAGTAAAGAACGGTTAGTTTGTTTTGCCTCAATAGTCTAATTTCGTTTTTGATTTTATCTACTGCAGTTCGTGTCTCGTGGTGAAGCTAATGGTGCGTTCATTAAGCTGGACACCTCGGGCCAGTTCACGTTCTCCGAAAGGTTCTGCCCAAGAAAGCGCTTGGAGCATAGTTTTGAGCCGAAATTCTCTATGACGAGACCACTGGTCGTGAGGTTTTATGGTCCGGTGTCGTGAACAACTTAGAAAAGGCTTCGACTACTCCCGATTGCCGAAGCTTCCCTTAGCCACCAGTTCTCCCGGTCAGTCTTGAGACTGATCAGGTCTCGGCAAAACGAGACACAGACCAGGAAATGATCGGGTTCCGTGTCCCAAAAAGAGCGACGCACTTGAAAACAAGATTGCTATCAATAGCTCGACACAACTCAGTGGTTGAGGCGTGAACTTACTAACCGGTTCGAAACCAATCTGTTCCTGTCTAGGCTTGGGAAAGCCGGCAGTACTTCAGCTCTCGTGGTTCGTCGGGTGGTATGAAAGCTAGGCACCGAAAGGATGTTACAGTTGAAAGATTATTTATTATTATTTATTAGTTGCTATGCGGTCATTGGGGTGTTCGATTGTTTGCGGCTTGGAGAACGTCAGACAATACGATGTTTTGTGCTTGCAATAAATGCATGACGATCCGCGTACTGTTGTAGGAGATGATCGACGTCGTCGGTTCTACAAAACATCTACACAAAATCTTCCAACTATTCTTCCCTAATGGACATTAAAATTGTCAGCGTGTGATGTGCATTTGGTCATCCGAAGAAATCCCAAAAACTCGTCATAGCAAGCATCTTTGATAGTATCACACGGATAACGAACGTGTTCCGGGGGCGAGCATCTTTCCTGGTATCACACGGATAACGAACGTGTTCCGGGTTTGGGTACGTTGGCTACGGATTCTGATAGGTCCCGCCAGTTTGAGTACACCAACCACCTGTTCCTAAGAATCCAGTCAAGCACGGCGTGTGCAGCTATCACATTCAACGAAACATCCATCCCCTGTGATCATGGGAATCAGCTTCTGGACCATCAGATGTCCAGAGAGTAGCCGTGAATAAACTGAGTTGATTTGTACCGTAGTGGGGTCTTGTATACGTTCTTCGGAGACATAACACATTCATTTTTAAAGATAACGGGGTATCAGCAAGGGAAGTCGGATGACCTATCTGACAAGCAGCAAAGACATTAAACGCTGCAGCGTTGGTGTCGGTAGTGCACGACGGTTCATTTTCTTGAACAGAGAACGAGGAATCAACAGTGAAGTTACATGGGCAGAGACAGAGGGAGTTCGATTGGCATGGGTATTGTTAGCAGGCACTCCTAACGAACATATTGCTCCACATTTCTCTCTCTCTATTTCAGCCTTTCATTGGACTGTTTTGTTCCATTCCATTCTTGATTCTTCGAATCTCGATATTGGCTGTTCAGTTGCTGCAGTATAATTCCTCAGGGCTTTTTGTCTTCTGAATTTCGTGTGTAATTGACAAGGTTGATTGACTGATTATTAGAGATGACACTGGCGACGGGAACCCTTCACGAACCCAAGAATGTCAATTTCAGCTGAGGATTTGAAATCAATCCTTCAACAACAAAAAGCGCAATTTGAATAATCGCAATTGCGACTTATCCAGTCCTCTCACTCAGTCACCAATCTCCAAACTTCAGTTTCATCTCAAAGTGGTAGCTCACTATCCTTTGCGGATTCCATTGCTACAACTATAACCTAATTTCACTATGAGCCAGCATCTGGTCTCACCTTTGATTCGTGGTACAGCCGCTGGGAGGATACATTCTTGAATGAGTTCACCGGCAAAGATGATGCGTGGAAATCCCGTCTCTTGGTACGGAAACTTGGAACCCTCGAACACGACCGGTTCACCAACTTTATCCTTCCACAACACCCAAAAGATTTGACTTTTGCACAGACGGTGGAACAACTTCGCGGAATTTTTCGTGACCAACATTCACTTTTTAATGTCCGATACAACTGTCTCAAGTTGGCCAAGCGTGAGGCCGACGATTACGTTACTTTTGCCGGTATTGCTAATCGCGAATGTGAGAAATTCTAACTGCGATCGCCTACAGAAGATAAGTTCAAATGCCTCATTTTTGTCGCTGGACTTCAATCTTCTCAGGATTCAGATATTCGCACGCGATTGCTATCCAAACTTGAGCACGAAAAAGACATTACTGTGAAAGACCTCACCACAGAATGCCAGCGCTTGCGCAATCTCAAACATGATACCG